GAGTTTAATTCACTATTGAATAAATTAAATACAATGTGCCTTTTCAAAGGTTCAAGCACAAACCTTTTCTTTTCAAGAACAAGACACAACCTCTTTAACTTTTCAAAGCTAAGTTAAGAACCTTTGCCTTTTCAAGGATATGGCACAACCTCTAAACACTACCTTTTAAAGGCTTAGGTAGAACCCTTTTCTCTCTTTTACAAGATAAAAGCAAAGGTACCTCTATAAGGTGGCTTTGCTAAGTAAGTACAATTTAGGCACAAAGATGCACACAAAGAATCGGAGTGAAAGCACAAAAAATTTGAAGCTCATGAATTGCACATCATTCTACTTGGACTTTGCATTGGTAGGCTATGGAAGAAATCTACTGCCTTTTCCAAGTAATTAATACCTTGCTCAATGTACTCCTATAATTTGGCGATTTCCTGCTTATAAAAGAGCCACACATATTTAGGAATCACTCTACCATGATTCAAAGACGTTTACAAAGTCTACAAGAAGTAAGAATGCTTACTATTCTAGCTGAGCAGCAACTTTTGCAACTTTATACTTGCATTGGTTGGCTGTAGTAATCAATTCTACACTTTGGAAAACAAGTTTAAGTGCCTAACAAATTAAATGTAAAATATGAGTTGAGCCAAATAGAATAATGTTCAGTTTGGATGCATACAAATTGATAATTCCTAACATTAAAAAGGCACCTATGTACATGAATAACTTTAACATCATCATAGAAAGGGCTTTCAATGTCTAGAAGTAGTGAGTATGCTTACTGTTTAGCAATTAGAAGTAGTGCTTCTTCATTCCAAAGGAAATCCACTGCCTTTTGCATATAGTAATCAATGGCCTAAAGTTCTGTTCAACCTCATAAAATTTAGAAATCCTGCATTCAGAAAAGGCAGTTCATGAATAACTATAAACATCATCATACAAATACCTCAAAAGAGAGGGTGGGATTGAGGGAAACAGTACTACTAAAAGCATTGTCTATAACAATGCAGATCAAAGAAATTAATAAGAAACATCAACCCAATCAGCGTTTGGTCTAGGTGCCATACCAAGCCTTCCAATATCACAAAACATGTTTGTTGCCTGTTGTAGAATCAAGATTTGACATCTATATAGAGACAAAATATACAAGAGTCAAATCCTAAAAAGAGAAAAAGATTGAAGAAACCCTTTAAAGACAACCTTTAGAAAAGTTAAATCCATACTTACATCTTGTGGATGCTTTCACAGCAGACGTAGTACTTCATTCCAAAGGAATTTCAAAGCCTTTGCATAGTATCGGACTCATAAAATTTAGGAATCCTCTGCATATAAGAAAGGCATGCATGTTGATGAATAAACTCTAACCTCACCATTCAAAGACATCACAATGTCTACAAGGCAGAAGTAGTACTTGTTTTATAAAGGGAAAAAAAGAAAGATATGATCCCCCAACCACAATCTCATGTTGTATTAAAAGGCTTAAAAAGAAAAGAAACTAGTACTTTAGATGGAAAAATTTTACCTGCATAAGTGTGTTTAGGACATTCTTGCAAGATCTTGAGGATGCTCCGGTCAAACTGAAGTCAAAAGTTTTGGCTTCCTACTAAAAAGATTGGGCTGCCCATAGTTTTCTGAGTTTTTAAAGACATTCAAAACAATGCAAGGAGATCAACATGAATAAATCCATCATAGCATGATCGAAAAGATAACATAAAAGATGATAAAAATTAATAAAACCTTGCAAATATTGACCCAGAAACAGATTGTGAAACTTCACCACTCTGGTTGGCTACATCAGGCCTGGGAAACAAAAGGATATTAAGGATTAAAACTTCAATTACATCCCTTTGGTCTGCCAATCCATTTTCAAACGCAAGAACTCTTGCATTTATGGCATTACCAGCCATGTTTTCTCTCGTATTTCAAGGTGGCAAATTGAAATTTGTTGGGTTAGATTTTGCATTCTATGATTTAGAATCCAACAATCTTTAGGAAGAATAGAACTGAAAAAGATACCAATAATCTGAAACAAAACTTGAAATGAATTGGAAGAGGGAAAGACTTACTAGAAATCAGGCCACTCCATTGTTGAATCTGGAGAAAGAGAAAAAGATTTAATATCCAATAATTTGAAACCAAAAACAAAAGAAAAAAAAAAGAAAGAAAATGAATCATGAATAGAAAAAAGAATACAAAAAAGCTAAAAGCTAATCACTCAAAAAAGAGAAAAAGTTTTAGAATCCAAAAATCTTTAAGAAGAAGATCTGAAAAGGATACCAAAGACTTGAAAAAACTGATCACAGACATGGAATGAACTGGAAGAGAGAAAGGCTTCCATTGTTGAATTTGGGGGAATAGTAGCGGGAGAGACCCTATATATAAGCCGGTCAAATTAAATCCTCACCGTTAAAAGATGGGGCGGGACCTGACGGAGTCTTCTAATCCAGACAGGATGGAAGCCGTGCGTTTTGTGTAAAGAAATTGGGCTCATTTTTTCTTTCTTTGGACTCAACATGTCCCATTTTCCCTTTTATTTAATAAAAAAGAATGTATTTATTGATTGAATAAAACAGAATATATTAAAAATTAAAAATAATATTTAAACTACATCATCCATCATCGTTTTGTTAATCGACTACTAAATCGGCTAAATCTATATATATGCATGTACACCTGTACATTATATGAAAATTATCTCTTATCAAAACGATGTTTTTTGACTAATTATTTAAATGAGATTTCTTTTGAGTTAAACGATGCGTTTTGCATACCAGGTGTCTAGCACGCTGCTATCCTCAAATGCAGCCGTTTTATCTAATGTTGTGAACTTATTCTTCAAGACCTTGTCTGATAGTTAATTTATATTTGTTGCCATGAGAATGTAGTTGTATCGGGGAGTAACATTTTCTTTATTTCATGCCTTGGATCCGTAGAATTGTTATGTTCTAATCATACTGAAATCAATAGATTTTAGGGTTATTTAAGTTAATTATTGATAATAATAAAATTTTAATTGTTAAATAATATCATCAAAAATATTATAAAAATGTTAAATTCTCCAATATTGATGTGGTCATTTAAATATCAAATTTATTTGAATATTATGATGTAGCCCAAAAGATTGCTAGTCCAATAAGGTGAGTTACCAAATATATTTATGGATGTTTATAAAATCAATTGATATGAAAAAATACACTGTGGCGTCTGCGTACGAGTGTTTTAAGGAAGACTAGTATTCGAGATGGTGATTCAAACAATGGGATGTGGGACTTGGCGTGGAAATGGCAGGGTCCCCGACGGATCCATACTTTTTTAGTTCAATGCCTTCATAACCGACTTCTTACAAATTTGGAGACAAGGCGTGGAAACTTCGTAATTGTTCCAGCATGTGCACTATGTGGTTTACAGGATGAATCGATTCTTCATTTGCTGAGTGATTGAACAGGAGCATTTCTATTCACTCTCGATGGTAGATTGGTTTACTTCCAATTTGAATAAATGCAAGATACCCTTGGCCTCTCATATTTGGTACCACATGCCGGTACTTATGGAAATGGCGAAATTCAGCTATTTTTGATGGAAAGAAAATACCAGCAGTAGGAAAGGTAACGCTAATCAAGAGTGTGGCTGCTGCAGCTCTTAACACATTTACTATTCCTAATCCTGTTCTCCATTGGCAACACTATCTTAGGTAAGTGCTATAGCAACAACAATAGAATTACAAATCAGAAGTTCCTCACAACCAGGGGCGGTTTCTCTCGATAACAAAGGAGCCATAACCCTTAAATATCTTAATTATACATGTAATTAATTTTTTAAAATCATTTTAATTTTGTGAAACTTATAGTTACTAGCTAAACTTAACATATAAATTTTAATCCAATATGGTAAGTCTATCAAATTTTTAAAAAATAAGAACGAATCTACTAATCTAAACTCACTAAATTTTAATCTGAATCTAAATTTATCATAACATCTTATATCTTAACCATTTAACTTAATAATTTAATATACAAATTAACAATTGAAAAAATAAATAAAAAATAAAAAAACTTTTTCATAAATCTATCCTCCTCGTACAGCGTACACAAATGAAAATGCATTTCCAGTTTAAAAAATTGCTTTATCTTTTACTCTTGCATGCAAAGAGTGAGAGATTCAACCATCAAAAAAACGAAAAACAAATTGTCAAACTCCATTTCATCATCTATGTGAGTTGTGCTCTTGTGCATTACTTAAATTCTAGTCTTATGTTGTGCTAGGCACTGCAAACTGCAGATTGGATGCGGCAGCATCGTACAGAGGATCTATGATCAGAGAACGTTGAGACATTGAACCATAAACGAATCAAGCCACTGCTTATCTTAAGCAAATCATATCCATTGTTTGAGACCTGACACTTGACAAAAACTTTTAAGTGTCACTTGTATGATCAAAGACTTTATCTTCTAGTTCTATACAGTCAATGATAAAATTACTCACTCAGTAACAAAAATGTTAAATGTCACATGGGGTTTGGGATTTTCCAGCCTAGATACGTGCAATGCTCTTGTAAGCTCCCTTTTCATGATGCAGAGGCTCCTCAAACTCAGAACGTATAGGGTGGAAGAAGAACATCACTCAAGGTGGCATGTGAGACTGGAGCCAAGGTGTTTGTATTGTTTCTGTTGTTAAGATGATTAGGAATTCTAATGATGCTATGACTGTCCACTATGTACATGGTATTCGGAAACCAGAACCTGGGTTCATACCTATTTATTGACTGGTTCATTTGAGAACAGGCTTCTGCCTTGTCCTGGTAAATTGTACATCTCCATTAAGAACAGAGCCTATGAAGGTCTCTACTTCTTCCATGGTCATGTCACTCATATATGCTGCAAACTTCATCTTCCGAGGTTTGTATGCCACCACGATGTTATCTGATGATTTGAATCCAGATTTATCAAATGCACTTAAAAATGATGGCTGCTTGGTAGCATCCAGGAGGATATAGGATATGGAATCCCTAGAACCTGAGGCCACACTCTGAGTCTGTCTCCTTGATAGTGATTTCTGAGAAACCTGAAAGTACAAATCATGCCACAAGTAAAATAAATGAATTCATATATAACAGTAGGGTCATTTGACATTTGAGTAAGCAATCCCCATCCCAAACTTTCAATATGGTGATAATGGTTGCATCGAGATGATTTACCAACAAACTTCGTGTTCATATTGCTATGTGACGAGAAATATCTAAATCATCATCGAAGTACACCCAGTATTCTATAGTTACACATGAGAATACTAAAATATGCAAAAACTAAATTGTAAGACTACCACTATACCTTTTGAGGCTCCAGTCCACATTTTATTTTTTCACCAATTGACAAATTTGTTATTTGGAGAAAGAAATATTCTCACCTTGGATAAAAGAGAGTCCAGCTTCTCCCTAGCTCTGGACGATCGAAATGCACCTATAATACAGAGAGGAGTTTTCTCCCCACAAAGAGCCTCAAAGTTTGATGCCATCAACAAAGGCAACTGCCCCTCTGTGGAATCTGTCTGCATTTTGCTAGTCTGAGATGAAGCCACCTTTTTGTTCTTCTTCTCAAAACCATCAAGCAACATACTGAGATCTTGGATTGCAGACTTCAAATCCTTTACAGAAATACCGGATTTCAGGATGTGCTTCTCTCCGTTAGACAGATATCCAATAATAGCCGGAAGTGCATCAACACCTAACTTCTTCACAGCTGGATCAGAAACATCGTGCACCTACATAAATAATGAAAGAGCCTGAATTCATTTTGCTACAAAAATTACTGAGAAAAGCAAAAGCATATTAGAATTTTAAAAACAGGAAATAAATTAAATGTTTATCATTTCTCTAAAATTTCTGAAATCGTGAACCTCTCTATTCTTTGCCAGACACAAAATTGAATACAGTAGACACATTTCTAATTCAAAATAAGGTTTCAAAGCATCAAATTTCCATGCAAGGTATTAGCAAAAACTTTCACATATTGAGATCTTCGCAACATACCTCTGCATCATAGAAAATGAATCTTTTATGATACAAGCCACTGAGAACACGCCAGATCACAGGTGTATCCTTTTTGGTAGAAAAAAGTATCACCCTTGGGTATTTTTCTACATTACTAGAGGACAAGTCAAGATGATTTAGGCTAATCCTTTTTGAAAACCTTGGTAAATGCTCTTGGCAAAAAGTTTTGATATTCTTAGCAATCAAATCACCCTTGTATTCTTCCAGAGAACCCTTCTCACTTCCTTTGTATGAATAAACTAACAACCTTGGTGTTCTCCCAGGACGCATACCAAGATCCTTACAGAAAGTTGATTCAGTTTCACAATTTATGCTTCCAACCTGTTGCAAGGGACCATAAGAAAGGTAAGATAACAAAAGCAATGATTAGCAAATACCAAATTATAGAAATAATTAAAAATGCAGTAGTACCTTTATAGCTCCTTGCAATAAACTAGCCACCTCCTCTATGATAGATTCATAATATTGTTTCCCCTGCAATGATGGTGTATAAGTTAACAAAAGCCAAGTCATCCCTTGGTCCGCTATTTCTTTTCTGAAGACCTCAGAATTTATCGCCCTGATGCTCTTAGGTGAACTCCTAGATTGAGACTGAGACCTGCTTGAACCACCGAAACCACCAAATTGACCCTGATCTTTCATACCACCCCCAAAGAAGCCAGAGAAAATATCGTCTAGATCAAAACCAAAGGAACTTGGTCCACCACCGCCACCGAATGAGCGTGATCCACCATTGCCACCAAAGGAAAATGAGAAAGTCTGGGAACTTCCCTGCCTACCCATATGCTGCCATCCACCAGATCCAGAAGTAAACCCACTTTGTCCAGGTCCACCACTAGTGAAGTACGTATATCCACCATGGTCCCCAGGGTGGCCAGCACCAAATCCAGGGGCACCTTTTTCATCCCCATACATATCATAATTTTTTCTCTTTTCTTCATCTGATAAAATGTCATACGCTGATCAAACAATAAAGATGAATCAGATATCTTAATAACAGACAAAGACCACAAGAAGAACAGTGCAAAAATTCGAAGGTACAAAAACCCAAACCCTTTTCTAATATTAATAAATTAACTAGTAATTTTAGGGCAATATGCTCACAAACCATATAGATTAAAGACTGTATTTCCTAATTAAGGGGGATAAAGAGAAAGCAAGAAAGAATAGATACGAGGAAGTGCAGCCAAAAAAAAAAGAAGAAGACAAGTAGTAAGAAGTCTTGGCACTACCGTTGTTGATCTCAGCAAACTTCTCTTGTGCACCTTTATTTTTGTTCTTGTCAGGGTGGTATTGAAGAGAGAGCCTATTCAATACAATCCAAGCAAAATTAGTAGAGAAAAACATTTAAACATGTGTCCATGTTCGTTCTATCATAAAAATTTTTTCATGGAAATAAGGAACATTTCCAGGTGCAATTAAATGACAAAAGAAATATGTACTGAATAAAAGAAGAACAAAAAGGAAGAACGTGAAAACGTAATGCCACAAAGTAAACATTTCTCATTCAATAAAGAAGGCATTTGATTAAGGATAACATTGAAATGACGAATATAAGAATGCCATGTACACATCAAGAAAGCATAAAGGATGATTAATGCTTAATGCCCTACACGAAGGAAATTTCACAAAAAAAAGGGGAAAATTCCCAGTAAAACATACTTGTGAAAAGCTTTCTGAATCTCTCGTTGGCTCGCGTTTTTCTCCACACCAAGAACCTGAGGATCGAGTAAATTCATCAGAAACATTTCCACAAAAAAAAAATGTCAAACTGAAAAACTCAAGAACATGCAAACTGCTACTCGATTATTTTCTCAATTCCATATGCGGTCTTTCTCATCAAAAGCTCAAGCTCACCGTCAACGCTTTCACCAAAACCTTTCATCCCAATTTTCTTTTAAATCAAATAAATTCTTGATAAATCTCTACAACATTTCCTTTCGTGGAATTTCACAAAAGCATACCACTTGAAAAACAAAGACGACTCTTGAATCATAACTTGTGAAAAATCAAAGTCAACAAAGAGCTTTCGAATTACAGCAGAACTTAAAAGGGGAGACCGAAGATCCTTACCCTGTAAGGATCAATGGTTTTGGCTTCTGCGTATAAAAGCAATAGCGTTGATAAAATCACAAACGACATTGGCGGTGGTCGAGTTTCCATCTTCGCAAAACCTGAAATACCGCCGCTGGATTTTTCTGTTTTTCAAATCGGTATGTCGGTGTGAAGAAACAGGAGAGAGGTGTAAGAGTTGAAATAAGGGATTACGACGGTTGCAAAAACAAATAGATTCGCGGGGAATTGAAAAACTTCCAGATCGTTCGTTCGGGGGTCCTAAGGCCGTTGGTACACGTGGCGTTTGCATGTGCTCCCACGAATTCTGACCAATAGCATTTAAGAACAGTCTTCCAACCCCAACCCAAACCCAAACGCATCGCCCAGCGCTGACGTGAACGTGTTTTTGTCTGTTTGGGCTTGTAGCGTTGGAAGCCTCTAACGTATAGTAACCCAATGACATCTGGATTTCTCGAGGCCCTAAACCATTAAAAATAATGAATGGAAAAAATTCATTCCAATAATAATAATTACAATAATTTTTCTTCTGGTTTTATGTTGTCGTCATAATCAGTTAAAAGGGTTTCCAAATGCTTACATTATTCAACTGAATTCATGTCAAAGACAAATACAAATAGAAAATTTTCGTAACAAAATCTTATGAACTATAGCCTATAGAAAGTAAGAGATGTAAAAAAACTATTTATTTTTATTTAATATTTTTTCATAATTTTACATTATATATTCAATTTTATATCATCAAAATTATTTTAAAAAAAAAACAATGAGTGGGGCATAAAGTGCAGAAGATTTTTATTTGGCAGCAAAATGGGAGGCTGCTTGGTCGAATTCTGCTCATGAGTAGTGTCCAGCTCGAACGTAGGATGTAATCAGGCATAGGGAGGAAAAGGTGGAATGGCATAGGGTTACTGGTTTCAACACAATCTGTATTCAATTTGACAAGATATGGAGTCTAGAGATCACTTATAGTTTACATGTGATTTTCTCACGTATGTATAATATTTCTATTGTCTATATTTTTTTATGTCTTGACAGAAATTATGTATATTTACGAGATTTATAATTTATATTATATATAATTTTATAAATGTCTTATATAATGTTTGTTTTTTAAAATTTACATGTCATTATTTCAAATCTTGTACACTAACACTATGTTGATAAGGCTATGAAATTTAAGCATTTAATTTCTTCAAAATTAAAAACCAATTCAACTAGGCCATACACATGCATTATCGAATTAAGTTATATGGTCACAAATCATACTGATACAAGTATAAACAAGTACTTCCTCCGAGGTACATTAGGATTTAGACATTAATACAAAATTTCAAATTTCATTATTGGAACATATGCTCAAACACAAAATTTTGAATATTTACTTGAAACATGGTTTATTTTTAAATTCGTGGATTTGGGAAGAAAATGTTTTTTTATACATTTCGTTTGGAAAGTACGAAAATGTTCTCAAAAATTTTGTTAGGATTTTCTCCTATTTAAAAAAAAGAAATACAAAAAATACAATATAATATTTGCAAATTATCAAAATTAACTCATTGATTCAAAAATTAACTAACATCTTCTAACATTGCAAGACAATTTCTAAAAATAGCTCTTTCATATTTTCCTTGACCCTCCCTTCGTTCAACCCTTCTCTCAAAAATTATTTTTCTCAATTTATTCAAATAATAAAATACTAATATTTTTAATTAAATATTATTTTTACTTTTTTATCTAAATTAATTTAAATTATCAAATGAAATAATAAAATAGTTAAAAATTACTCATTAATCACTATATTTACCAATTTTGAAGGAAGACAAGATAAAAATATTAATTTTTAGGACATGCTTGGTTTGGGGAATAGAATAATCATTCCTCCTCTATTCTCATTAGAAACAAAGCTGCATTTGATTCAATAAAATGATTATTCTTCAAAATACTAATTGCAAGAGAAGCTTGAATTTGATAATGACTATTCTTATTGTTAGAAATAAGAAAATAAGTTGATTAGAAAATATATCTTTTATAATTAAAAAAATATTTTATAAAAAATACTAAACTTATTTTTTTTCTCTCTCTTCCTCACTCCTTTTCTCTCTTAAGCACAAAAACACAAAATTTTTTACTTCATTTTCAAAACAAGGAAATGAAAATATTTAAATATTATTTAATATATTAATATTAGTTAACTATAATAAATATTATAAACAATATTATTAATATTATTATTTGAATATAATAAATGAATAAATATATTAGTTAATATTATTTAAATTAATGAAGAATACATTTTATCTTTAATATTAAATACTATTTAATTAATAATAAAATTTAATTATCTTCTAATGCAAATATATATTAAATTATAGTACAGATATGTTTGTATTTTTGTGAAAATATCTTTTAATTACAATAAAAGTATTTTGATTTTATTATTTAGAATATTTGTATCTTTTACCAAAATAAATTTTAATTTTAATAAAAAGTATTTTATCATTTACTCATTATTTCTTAATCATTCTATTCAACCAAATAATAAAATAAATAACAATAATAATTTCTATTATATTATATGTTTATAAATTAATCTATATAATTTTTTTTTTTTTTATTTTCATTTTATTTCTTTCAGTGAACCCAACATGCTGTAATCGAAGGTGGGTTGTCACTCCTTATTTCCTTTGCTTATATCGTGCGTAATAAGAAGGCCAGACGCACAATAAAGCGCCTAGATTATTTCATATCCTAGAGAAATTCCCCGGCTTTTTCCATTTTACTCTGCTTTGCTGCGAGTAGAAGAGAGAAGAAAGAGCTGAGTCCAGCGCAATAGCTGCCAAAAGCCCAAAAGAAGACCAAGAACTGCACCGCGATCACACTCTTGTCGCTCCCGTTTCCTCACCGGAACAAAATCCCCCCATCGTTTCCGGCTTCTCCGTTAAATAGAAAAGCTCAATAAGCAAGTCCGCCCAAAACCTCAACGTTTATGCTGATGTGAAGCCTCGCCGCACCGGAATCTTTTCTCGATATAAAGTTCGCGATTCACCGATCCAACTCGCTGACTCGGCTCAGCTTGTTCTCGTAGTTTAAAGATAAAAGAGGGCGATTTTGTTGGAGATATCGATGGCGCTCTCGGCTTCTGATTTGCCTGCCATTTACTCGTTGCTCGCCAACTCAATGAGCCAAGACGAGACCATTCGCAAACCAGCCGAAGCGGCTCTATCTCAATTCGAAAGCAGACCTGGTTTCTGCTCTTGCCTCATGGTATTTATTTATTATTATTCCGTGTTTATCTTATTTTGCATTTTCTGTACAATGCATTTGAGGTTTATACGCGTTTAATTTGCATTTTTTTTCTTTCTTTTATTTCAGGAAGTGATTACAGCGAAAGATTTAGCGTCTCAAGTGGATGTTCGATTAATGGCTTCTGTGTACTTCAAAAACAGTATTAATCGGTATTGGAGGAACAGGCGCGATTCCTCGTAAGATATACGCTATTTTTCCATGCATTTAATTCATATTTAAGTTCAAAGATGAGGATTAGCATTTCATTTCCAGTCTTCGGAAACTGCATTGCTTTCTTTAGTAGCAAATTGCTCTCTACAAGCTGATAAAGAGTGTTAGATTTGTTTTTCTTTATTTATTTCTTAAAATATGTATATATGTATGTCTCATTAGTAACCTGAAAATTGTATTCAGGGGGATAAGCAGCGAAGAGAAACTACATTTAAGACAAAAATTGTTATCGCACTTGAGAGAAGAGAATTATCAGGTGTTTCTCACATCTTTTTCTTATTTTTATTTGTAAAGAATTTTAAGCTTCTGTTCATTAACTTTGTTTTTAACTATAATGAGGAGGCAAGGACTTATACATAATAGGATCTGATTGGATTTTAGTTACTTACTAGTTCTACCTGGAATATGTTTCACATTGTGTCATAGTGGCTTGTAATTTTGTTTGAGTTTAGTAGTCTTTAATAAATTTCTATCTTTTGCATTTTTTTCCCCGATACAGATAGCTCAAATGCTGGCAGTGCTCATTTCCAAAATTGCTCGCTTTGATTATCCTAGGGAATGGTATATATCTTCACTTTTTAAACTCCTTAATATTCATTAATGTGTTTTTCCAATTCTTAAGCATTTCCTTCTGTAGCTGGTAATATTTACTGATTTGTTGGTGAATTGATTTTAGGGCAGAGCTGTTTTCTTTTCTCGCACAACAGCTTCAATCAGCCGATGTTCTTACCTCCCACAGGATTTTTATGATTCTCTTTAGAACTTTGAAGGAGTTATCCACAAAACGTCTTACTGCAGACCAAAGGAATTTTGCGGAGGTATGTTGTTACTGGAACATCTTCACTTTTATAAGCTTCCCCTAAATGAAAGTTGTCTTGATCCTGGCCATTTATCTAGCCCCTCTTAGGTAAGTGAAGGTGGATGCTAACAGACAGGTTGCTTAGCCTGGACAGCATCGGTTTGAAAGGCATCGTCATGCTAATGACTAATATATGCATTTAGAACAGCGATTGCTGGCTTTTACATCCTGGTTTATAAGCCATTTAAATCTGTGCTCCAGTGTTCTCGTATAAATCATAATTTATTCGTTTTAGGATCACATTCCTTGCGAATTACTGTTCTGTTCTATAGACCTGAGGAGTCTGACTTAGAAAACTTTTTGGGCAGATATCATCTCATTTATTTGAGTACTGCTGGCATCTTTGGCAGAGTGATGTACAAACAATATTACATGGTTTTTCTACAATCACTCAGAGCTATAATCCAAATGCTGTGGAGCAGCATCATGATGACCTTTATCTAACATGTGAGAGATGGTTGTTGTGTCTAAAGATAATATGTCAATTAGTGATTTCAGGGTTTCAAAGCGATGCAAAGTGTGTTCAGGTACTTATCAGTTCTTTCTCTTTCCATTTAGAACATTTTCAGGATTTTAGAGTCAATTACAGTTTCATTCTATTTTCTTGTTTTATTTTTTGGGCAGTTTAGAATGAGATTATATGATTTAAATTATTCATTTTGCAGGAAGTAAGACCAGTAAAAGAGGTTTCTCCTGTGCTTCTGAATGCTGTGCAATCATTTCTTCCGTACTGTAAGATAGCTTGTTCTTTTTGTAAATTTTGGTCCCATATATCAAAAAACAAGATTCATTTGAACCAAAAATAGGCAATAAGCATGTATAGTTAAAAGAGTTAACTTTTAATTTTAATTAATCAAAAACCAAGCAATCTTATTAATTTGCATACAAATTATTCAAAAGTTTTGCCCTGCTTTCTTTGATGCAAGACTCGTGCTCTTTCACACTTTGAGCATGTTGTTTTTAAAAACTTTGTTGCAGAATAGTGACCATTGTTATAATTAATGCGTATAAAATTAAATCAAGATTTTTTGGTGTGCTTTAATTTCTAAATATTTTTCTGTTTTCTTTTTCATAGAGAAGTAGGTAGAATGGGTTTCCTAGGTCTAAAACGGTAATCTATGTTATTCCATTCTAATTGTGGGAGGAATTTATATTTTTGCTTCTTGATCTTTATATTGGCAAAAAAAAAAAAAAAAGCTTCTGATCTTCTTGTTTTAAATAAAAAACTGAAGCCATCTCAAATGCTTGTTATTTTAGATTTTCTGTTGGATTAATTTATTTCTATGTGCTACCTTATTTACAGATACATCTTTTCAGAACGGACATCCTAAATTTTGGGACTTTATAAAGAGGGCATGTACTAAATTGATGAAGGTTCTAGTTGCAATTCAACAAAGGCATCCTTATTCATTTGGTGATAAATGTGTCCTTCAACCTGTCCTGAATTTCTGTTTAAATAAGATTACAGATCCTGAGCCAGACATATTGTCCTTTGAGAAATTCCTGATTAAGTGTATGGTAATGGTAAAAAGTGTATTGGAATGTAAAGAATATAAACCAAGTCTTACTGGACGGGTTATGGAGGAGAATGGTGTTACGCTAGAGCAGATGAAGAAAAACCTTTCTAATGCTGTTGCTGGTGTTTTGACTTCCCTTCTACCTAATGAAAGGATAATACTCTTATGCAATGTGTTAATAAGGAGGTAATTACCCTTTCACTGCTGCCTCTCTTTATCAGTTTGGCTTTGGCTTGTTGTACAGTATGGTGTTTCCCTTTCCACCCCCTTCTCAACTGAGGTGCAAGAAAGAGAAAAAATAATTTTGAGAACCATGGTTAAAATTAATGTAGTTAAATTATTTTTTCTCTGGGAATTAATTTTGTTTGTTTCTACATAAAAATTTTTGTTAGCAATGCACTCTGCATTTCGCTGGTCTTTTCCCTGCTTTTGAACAAATTGTTGCTCAAATTTTGTCCTAATTAGCATATCAACAGGTATTTTGTTCTAACTGCAAGTGATTTGGAGGAATGGTATGAGAACCCTGAGGCTTTTCATCATGAGCAGGATATGGTTCAGTGGACAGAGAAACTGCGGCCTTGTGCTGAGGCTTTATATATTGTATTGTTCGAAAACCATAGTCAAGTATGTGGTAATTTAGTACAGATTATTTAGTATGTTCTTGTGTTACTATCTCTTTCTGTCCTTTTTTCTTGTCAGATGTTTCATATAATTACATATATGCTTATTTGAGTTAATTCATTACATTTAGCTGCTAGCTCCTATTGTGGTGTCCGTCCTTCAAGAGGCAATGAATGGTTGTCCAACTTCGGTAACTGAAATTACCCCAGGATTACTTCTTAAAGACGCTGCCTATGGCGCTGCTGCATATGTATATTATGAGCTTTCAAATTACCTGAGCTTTAAAGATTGGTATGCCCATTCTCCAATATGCAACATTGGTGTCTAGGCACTTGATAATTTTGCTGCGTTTATACTCTCTCTGTACTTGGTGGTTTGGGGTGGTTTTCTTTTATTTCTTTATTGATAATTTATCCCTCAGTTCAGTTGTTAAGTTGTTAAAGAATTGCACTGATTGAAATAAATAGGTAGCTATTATCTTCTTATTTTTGAGTAGGTGGTATGATGAAAACATCTTTTGTTTTTTCCTGAACTATCTTGGATTGCAGGTTTAATGGTGCTTTATCCCTTGAACTCTCTAATGATCATCCAATTATGCGTATCATCCACCGGAAAGTTGCACTAATATTGGGACAATGGGTCTCTGAGGTAAGATAATACTCTTCTATAGGCCTTATCCATATCATCTCCTCGATTTCTTTCTTGTGAAGTGTATGTGTGTGTCCGTATGCATACCTCAGCAGTATGTTGAGGCTTCCATCCCTATAGCATCATGGTTACCAATAGCTCATATCAGAAACTAGTCCAATCCATATTGAATCTTGTGCACTGGCAAAATGCTGGTTGCTATTTTTTTTTTCTATCAGATGTAGTAGATTTCTGATTAAGTGTTGAAACTTCTGTCAATCATGGAAGAAACTAGGTGATACAGGACAGGTCATAATTCTAAAATCCTTTGGCACCTGATCCTGTGCCATTGGCTGCATCACAGAATATAGAGTAGATAAATTAAAGGCAGAGTGTAAATAAGTGCCACTAGGAATAGGCTCTGATCTGGTATGTGTTGGATGAGTGCCTTTACATGGACTTGTGTCCTTGCAAGAATTGGGGAATATGTTTTATCTTGTTGTAGTAGAAGAGTGGTGCATCTGGAGTCTGGAATCTGTAATGTAAATCTAATGCTGCATATCAGTTGTTATTCCTCCTTAATTTCAGAGGGGAATGTTGCTAATGTATTCTGGTCGCAACAGGAAATTAGTCATAATGATTGTTTTCTAACATTTGCATTCCTGCAGATCAAGAACGATACAAAAAGAGCTGTATACTGTGCCTTGATACGGCTGTTACAGGACAAAGACCTATCTGTGAGGGTATGTTCCATAAGTTGCATCATGTCTCCCTGCTTGTTTCTCTGTCCCTTCATAATAATATATTCCTGATGGTTACTTTACTTTGCTCAATCACTAAGTTGTATGTTGTTGTTTTAGCTGGCCGCCTGCCGATCATTGTGTTTACATGTTGAAGATGCAAACTTTTCAGAGCAAGATTTTTCTGATCTACTTCCTGTTTGTTGGGGTTCATGTTTTAATTTGGTCAAAGAAGTTCAAGAGTTTGATTCAAAGGTAAATTCTACTGTTGATTGTTATTGATGTTCACTGCTTGCTTAGGTGTTCTTTCTCCCCTTTCTTCTTTCTTGGTATTGTGATTTATGTATCTTATTGGATTGCAGAAAATTCTGGAATCTATAGTCCAAGCTTTAGAAATTCTTTCATGCATGTACTGCTTCTGATGATAAAGTTGAACCAATGGTGAATGTTTCTTGAAAATTTTTGTATTGATGTGCTTTGCCCATTCCTACGTAAGATCATAAATGATTGCTGTAGATTCACATTAATAGATTTAGGTTAGCAAATCAGAAATGCAAATTCTGGTTTTGGGATAGTTTGTGTCTAGATTTACATCCTAGTCTTTGTGTATGTTTGTATGTGTGCATGCACACCTATATGCATCTATGTATATTCCTGACATTCAACTCAAATGCTGCTGCTTTTTTCATCATTTCAGGTCCAGGTTTTAAATCTGATCTCTGTTCTTCTTGGCCATGTCAATGAAGTCATCCCATATGCAAACAACTTGATGCAGTTTTTCCAGATGGTACTGTTGTCACTGCTTTACTTTCTTATCTGAAAGTTTGACTTTTACTTTGATGTGCTTGATTGTTTATAATATAAGTATCAAGGAGTCTTTAGCAGGGAACCATTTTACCAAATCAGCTAATTACCAATATTAGAAATTGCTGTTGTTAAAAGAATTTTGCTGTCACGCAAGATTAAGTGCAATTAACTTTTTATGAGAAGTTTGTGTCCTAGTCAATAGTTGACTACAACAATCGAATGGACAAGTTGGAATGTCTAGAAAAATTTGAGTCTAAATGGGTTAATTAACTTGGCTAGACATGTAGTAGACTGTCCTTATCAGGTGCATTTATTCTTTTTAATTTCCTTTAACCTCTCAATATGAATAGGTCTGGGAGGAATCTTCTGGTGAAAGCCTTCTACAGATACAGCTTCTTATTGCTTTGCGGAACTTTGTCGTTGCGCTTGGATATCAATCACCTAGTTGCTACAGCATGCTCCTGCCTATTCTTCAAAAGGGGATTGATATAAATAGTCCCGATGAACTCAATCTTCTGGAGGATAGCATGCTGGTTAGACTACTGCCCAAATATTTGGTTATTTATCCGGATGCCTTTACCCATAAACATAGTGTGCTAAATGTTATCGTATTCCCGCAGTTGTGGGAAGCTACACTTTCTCATGCCCCTGCAATGGTGCCTCAACTCTTAGCATATTTCCCATGTCTGGTGGAAATATTGGAAAGAAGTTTCGACCAATTGCAGGTTAGACTTCTTGAATTAGTGACCCATATATTTTGTTTTGTGGTCTATCTATTGCTGCACTCTCTTGTAGGTCCTTCGCTGTTAGAAGAAAAGAAATTCTTTCATATACTTATTACAACATTATGAGTATTTTCCTTTATACATTGGAAGGCTATGAATATTTAGTTGGCCACATAAGGGAGAACAACAACAGGTACGGGAGGTCCATAGGAACTGAAAAGTTGGAGAGTTGATTGTAGTTGTAGATGGGCCATAAGCTCTGCAGTGGATACTTTGTGCAATAGTAAATATTTAGACCAAGCAGGATGTGATGGGCAACAGAAGGCATGACATAGTACACTATTACTTTGTGACTATATCTGTCCTTGTTAGGTCAGTGCTTTATTCCCCCTTTTGTAGTGATTCATCAAGAAAGTAGGATTGTAATAGCAACTTTAAAAAAGTTGGGTGTCAATGGTCTTGGATTGTCTACCTATTTGCGCTCTGTGCTTTCGACTTTCCTTGTTCAGTCTTATAAATCATTGCTTGCAGCTCCTACCCCTTTTATCTCCCCTACTATTTTGTATCTTATGTTGATGTGAATATGCTTACAGGTTGCTGTCAATATTACTGAAGCTTACATTATTTTGGGTGGAAGGGAATTTCTTAGCACGCATGCTTCCAGTGTGGCTAAACTTCTAGATCTCATTGTTGGAAGTGTCAATGACAGAGGGCTGCTTGGAACTTTTCCTGTCATTGACATTTTAATACAGGTATTATACCGTGAACTCTCAGGGCAGTTGACATCATACGAAATAGGCTGAATTTTGAAGAAGCTAGTAGTAGTGTGTGAATATTTATTTATATTTTTTTGCCACAAATGATATCAATGGTTGAAGATTTAATACTGAATACAAAAATGACCAGAAGCATATCATTGTGTTTGTCAGCTTTCAGCTTCTTTATAAAAGGTTGTCATTGTGTCCTTATGTTGGAGATGTTTGCTGGCCATCACTACTTAGTGCCATGCCTAGAACCATAAATGTCATCAATGTCATTATTTATTGAAAATACATCCTGTAATGTGAAATCTTTGATGTTAAAAGACCTACTTTCATCTCAACTATTTTGACAAACCATTGACATCTTGTTGCTATTTTGTAGTGTTTCCCCATGGATGTGCCCCCATTAATCAGCAGTACTTTACAAGTAAGCGTGGTTCTTTACCTGCAGAGATTTTTTATCATTCATGTTCTCAGTTATATTTGCCATTACATATGCCTGTTCATGACATTTCATTCAACTGTTATGCCTTGTTCAATGTTGGTAGAAACTTCTTGTTATTTGCTTGAGCGGAAAAGATGATACTGATCCTTCAAAGACAGCTGTTAAAGCATCTTCAGCTGCTATACTAGCAAGGATTTTGGTGATGAATACCAACTATCTTGCACAATTAACAGCAGAACCTTCTCTTTCGTCACTACTGCAACGGACTGGTGTCAATATTGAAGAAAATATTCTTCTTTGTCTGGTTGATGTATGGCTTGACAAGGTTAGTAGAACATATTTCCCTATGAAGGAGACAATGAAGGATAGTCTAAGTTCTGTTGTCTGTTAGTGTTCTGAACTGTTTGAAATGATGTTTTGACTCAAGAAGAAAAGGAAAACCCTGACGTTTTGACCATCTAGAGGTTTAATGCTTTCTGTTAGGATTGTGAATTATCTAACTAGAGTCTGCCCCATTCGTTGGCAGGCTTCTTCAAGTTAATTCTTGCTTTTCTCCGTTAACTTTGCATCTTTGTACAGGTAGACAATGTCTCTTCACCCCAGAAGAAAATATTTGGCCTAGCACTTTCCATAATATTGACTTTAAGGCTGCCTCAAGTTCTAGACAAACTTGATCAGATATTAAGGTAGAAGCTCAATCTTGATTTTGATGCATATCTGCAACCGAACTTTGGATGGCATCTAATATGTGAAATGATGATTAAACTTTTATTCCTTCAGTGTCTGCACTAGTGTAATTTTGGGAGGGACTGATGACTTAACTGAGGAAGAGTCAAGGTTATATACTCAGATCCTTTGTATTATCACTTTTGATTGGTGATGATTACATCAGTGATTCGTAACTAATTTTATTCTTAATTTTTGCTAATAAATTGCAGTGGTGATAACATGAGCTCTAGCAGGTGTCATGGCGAGGGTTCACTTCCCAGTAAGGAGTTAAGGAGAAGACAGGTTAGCATTCTTTAGTTAAATCATTCAACAAATTCTGATACATTTATTTATTTGGTTGTGATGGATTGGTTTGCCACCATTCAGATCAAGTTCTCGGACCCTATCAACCAGTTGTCATTGGAAAACTCAGTGAGAGACAATCTTCAAACTTGTGCTGCCCTTCATGGGGAACCGTTGTTTAATTCTGCCATTGGTAGGATGCATCCTTCAGCTTTTGCACAATTGAAGCAGGCGCTGAAGATGCCATAGGCAGCCTGGACATTCCATTTATCAAATGATGTCTCCTTTTACCGGGCGATTATCATTATTTTTCCAAAAATTGGGAAGATCATTTAGGTAAGATTTTTCGATCTTAAATACCCCTGCACTTAGCTATCCTCTTTTATCGTTGCATTCAATTCCTTCAAACGTTACCAACCAATTCTTTCTGGGAAGTTTCTTCAGTTCAAGTAAAATCTTTTTGAACCATTTAACATTCGAACACGATGCCGTCTTATCTCCCTCTCTCATTTACACGGTAGCATCTAATAATACGTTTTTGTTTCTCCAATTCCAGGTGACATTCATACTTTTTTTCTTGAGCTGGTTTGGATTGGTTTCTACATTCTTTATATTTGGTTTCATGGTTGCTTTGGCTGGGTGTCGATTTTATTCATAAGTTAATTTTTGGTGTATATGCCACATGGGCAACAGGCAAACATTGTATATAGCTTGCTGGTCCCTTGCCTGCCTCCGTATTTAAAGCACAAGGGTCGGCGAATTGAGTTCATGGTATGCCATTTACTCGCGAGTGCAATGGAAAAAATTTTACAGTTGAAGAAAAAATAAAATAAAATGTGGAGATATTTCTTACTTCATGGCGGATATGCCTAAGCCTTTACCAGTTTTTTAGGCCTCAACGTCAATGACTTCAAATTTCATAGTACTTTTTTTAAAATTAAAATGTAGCTAGGATTTGAATATATATATAGACAATAAACTGCCAATATAAAATATTTATATATTATCATTTAATTATAAAATATTACTTTATAAATGGTATAAAAATATTTTTTAAAATTATGAATTTTTTTTTTGAAGATTTTCAATTGTTAAATTTATATAACTATGGGTAATAATATTTTATTTATTGGTAACATATAAAATTCATTTACAAATAATGCATGAAATATAAATTTAATTAAAAATATTTATGAATTTAATATTTGTTGTAAGGAAGGAATTTTAAATTATTTGATACACCAAGAAGTAATCTTTTTCGTGTCCGTAAACTTACATCAAATTTCTTTATATACATTGCAAATAAAATCCTCTTAATCGAAATATTCTTAATATTTGAATTAATTGGTAATTAAATGCCACTTAAGGAGGCAAAATATCAAAAGTGGGAACGAACTTCATAAAAAGCATTGATTAGTAAAACTTCCAACAGCATTTTACCCTTCAAACCAAATGAACTAACCATAACATCAAAAGACCGATAGAACCGTCTATTACAATCCCATATAAGGCAAAGTAAAAACAAAGCTTCCCCATCCCAACAGGTCCCAACGTAATTTTGATAGTTTTGCAAACATTTAATCTCTCCAACCTGTGGAAAAAATTTATCATCTCCCTAACCACTCAAAATCCAATGTATACGATAAACTTCATCTGGTATTAGATGCTCTGTTTTTTTTTTTAGGCTTTATGCTTTTGAAGCCGGCTCATCTTCCGTCTTTGCTTTGTCTTCTGTGGCGGCTGCGGCTTCTTCCTTATCCTCGGAGGCAGCAACTTTTTCTTCTTGTTCTTTTCCGTCGGTTTTACTCTCTTCCACGCTTAACTTCTCGAGGAGGCCGGCTGTATCTGTGGCATCTTTGTTTTCCTCTTTCTTTCCCTGACTTTCAGCAACCTCTTGAACCATCTCCATGAAGGACTTGCAATCTGAACATAGATGAATATGTCAATCAAGCTTACAAAGCCGTACACTAAAACTTGGTACATATTTACAATGGCACGCATATACACATCCGATCATATGCCGAAATTGTTACAGAGTAGCATATTATTGAACAGATTTGATCAGAAAGATGTTGGAGCTCAGAAGTGGACATCCGTTAAAAGTATCCCTTGTAGTCTGCTATAAGCTGCAGATAATTCAACCCTCCAAACACCCATAAAACAGGCACACTCACACATTGCACTGGTAATTTGTTCAACTTATTTACCATTTCTTTAGTTTGTTTAGCATAAGATACCTAAGCACTGGTAATTATATTTGCAGTAATACGCTGGTCTTATACTTAAGGTTTCTTAGGTAAGGTTAGATCTGGCTTATCAAGCTTTCATGTGCACATTTTCCAATACAAAACTATAGTATTCTTTATATTTTCCAATTTGAGGCACCTAACCCTTTCAAGTATCAAGAGAAGCAAGCAGAAAGCTTATCAGTTAGGTAAATAAAAGCATAAAACTTGTTTTCACTAGTTTGCATCATTTAAGGCATGCTTTCTTCGCACACCCACAAGACTTCAGAGCAATTTCTTATGCACAAGTCAGATTGCCATCTGCAATCCAACAAGCATTTGAATAGCCCAAAATAAAACCTCTTAGTATAATTTTAACTGTTAGTAAACTCAACCATTACCAAAAAGAATGTCAGTCCTAGCGTAAACGATGGATACTAGGCGCTGTGCGTATCGACCCGTGCAGTGCTGTAGCTAACGCGTTAAGTATCCCGCCTGGGGAGATGGAGCTTTACGATGCCGCATCGCAAGACACTCAAAATCAAATATCGAAACATACTAAAACAATGCTGTTATAAACTAGATACATAAATCCTATCCCTCATTTGATTTCTACAAGATTTAATCTACGTACTAAAACAATAAGAGTCCGAATAAGAGTTCATCTCAGCAGCATTGTTTGTTAGTGTTAGTGTTAGTAATAGTAATACTAAATATAATGCAACATAAAAATGTAGATAACTCAATGAAATTAAAAATGCTCACTCTCAACAGAAGCAAATCGAATGCAGAACATCTCCTCTTTCAATTCCCCATCTGCGAAATCAGTTGCGTGCCAAACGCATGATTTATCGTTTCCAGCATGTTCTTGCACAGTCATTGTGGGAAGAACTGCAACCATTAACAGTCACCAAAATTACCGCACACAGAATGATGCTACTAGAATCAACTTCAACTAAGCTAATTATTTTTAAAATCAGGGGGATTAGTAAGAAAAATATAGTGAGAAGAAAACAGACCAAGATGATTTGCACAGATCTTGAGGGTCTTGGATTGGCGCATGACGAGGCGAACTTTGCCACTGACTTTGTGCTTCAATAGCTTCACATTACCAACTCCTCTCTCCTTCCACTGATTCCCTTCCTTATCGAACCGATAAAGCTTCGCCTTCCTGTATCAAAATCATTTTTGTAACCAATCACCAAAGAAAAAAAATCGAAGGAAAAAGAAGTTCGGAAAACAGTAGAGAAATCGAAATTGCGCACAGATCGAGAATCGGATCTTCATCTTCTTCGCCAGTAGAGACGGCAACTTCCTCTAGCTTGACGATTGGACGACTTGAGCTCCGGTGTCTTCATCGTCGGCGGCGGGAGCGTCTCTTCGTCTTCTCTGTTGCGCTCCTCTGGATCCGTTTTAGCAGTGCTAGCCATTTTTTGTTTGCTTGCCGCCGCTGCTGCTGCTGCTGCTGCTTAAGCTTTCGACAGAGAGAAAATGAAAAAAAAAAATCAAAGACAAAAGAGCGAAGCGAAACTCAACTACACATTGTATGAGAGAGAGAAGAGAGGAGTGTTCTTTTTCCTTTTTTTTTCCTGTTCTAATTTCTTTTTGGTTTATTAAATTTAGGGCTTGGGTGGCGGGGGCTATAACGGGGGCAGAAAGGGAAAGGCATTTGGAAGTAGGGGATGTGGGGTCATGCCAAGTGGGACCCATGGACACAGCTGTCGCTTTCACATGGCAGGTTCTGCTTGCGCGTGACAGGTGTAAAGATTTTTTTCTTTTATGTTATTCTACTTGCCTATCATTATTTTCCCAACTACAGCCCTGTTTGGCTGTCCAATCGCATCATCTTCACCCTTTTTCTTCATTATATATATATATATATATATATATATATATATAGACATATAAAAGAATGAAATTAATCTTCACTTTATTTAATTTTTTTATCATTTTTAGGCAATTAAATCATCATTTTGTGAGTATAAAAAAATTAATAAATAAAATTCAATTTATAAAACAAAATGATATTATTTTAATATTTAAATTAACAAAATAATTTTAAAATAACAACAATTCACTATCCCACGAAAATCATTGTGTGAAGTAATGCTACTCAATTTTGCCTCTCCCTTCTTCTTTATACTCGAAATCAAGAACATTGTCATACTTCCCTTCTACGAAACCAAGCAAAAAGTTAAGCGAAGATATCTTTCTCAATCAACGCAGCGAACGTTACCCACTACCAAAGAAATTGAAAGTTTTGTATGGCGCATTGATTACATCATGACCTTTATTATCACTCTTATTTCCAGCTAAATTAACATTTTTAAACCAAATTATATTTTGGAAAATAAAAATTTCTGATTAAACAGCAGAGCGTTAGATAGCCTATGGAATTAATCCATGCGTATTTTCAAAGAGCTTCAACAACAACCATGTTCAACCAAAGACATGCCAATGTAAGTTATTGACTTTGGCTTTACTCAGTTGTCAACAAAAGCATATATGGGGCGTAAGACACAAAGGGGAGGTGTGATTGCAAGAGAAAACCCAATTAGGAGGATCAATGTCTGATACTATATTAAATTTTAACTCATAACCAACCAGATACAAGTGAACAAGAGTACCAAAATTGAAAAATAAGGAGAGAATGGAACAAAGAGAATGTTTTCTTAAGTCGTTGCACCATTTGTTGCTTCATCCATAGGCTCCGCTTCCGCTGATTCCTCAGCTTTATCACCCTTCTTACCTGCAACACATATGCACTTATGTTTACTACATAACCCTCAAAAATATGCTTCCAGTGTTCCAAGATAATTGCTGTGGTAATCTTAGACTATTTAGATTATCCTCTCTGTAAATCATACCTTTCTTCTTCTTCCCACCACCTTTCTTCTTTGTCTTTGTACCCAAAGCTAACCAGGCCTTGATTTCAGGATCATCTATTGTCTTGGTTGGCTGCAGCTCCTGCAGAGGATGGGATGTCATCCTATCCGATCCGTTAGGCATTAGCAACACGGTGAATTTGATATGAGCAACATAATCACCTGCAGAATTATAGTCCAGAATGATTAAACAGGCTCAATGCGACAAACATTACAGGGTAATATCTCATATCATGATTAAAAAAGATTTCAGTAATGAGTTCTTACCAGGCTTCTCATGAAGAACAGGATATGGCTGCAAGAGATCATGGTTCACACATTCAACTAAACCTAGACGAGCTCTTTTCTCTTCCAAAGCCCTGTTTGAAGAAAATCCACATGAATTGTAAAACACAAGGAAGTACCACCAATGCGTACATAACAAATGCAAAACAATCACAGACCGTGCAGTGAATGGCAGGATGGGAAATTTCTGATTTATTTCACTGAAAATAAATCTAGAGGTCTTCATCTTTAAATGATAATTCTTGTCAACAGCTCTCTTATAAATAGTTGTCTGCTTCTCATCCAACAGCTTCGGCTGCAAATCACACACAGGGAAACCTTAAGGGCGAATTAACATGACATAAGCATAGAGACAGCAGCAGAGTTAAAAGACAAGAAAAGACTATTACCTTCCCTTCACCAGTGCTTGCGACAATATCTACTGCATAAACTTCATTTTCCTCAAACTCTGCATCATCAACTCTTGTGTCTGGATTGGAGACGCTTAATATGACTTTGTTTCCATCTATCACAAACTGCTTTAGTTGATGGCTAAGAACACCTTCAACAATTTTGCAGTCGTAAGCAGCAGCTACCTTCTGAATTGCATCTGTGACATCTTTATTCTGCCATTAAAACAATGATGAAAAATTTAGTACAATCAAGATGATCAATTAAATGAGTTGCGATGCATGTTTTAAAGCATATAAGTACATACAAAACAAGCCAGACAGCAGTCTGTTCAAAAAAGGGAAAATGTAAAAAAACATCTTCCCTGTCAGAGTAACTATGACAAAAGCCTCACTTGGATGTTGGTCCATAGCTTTTGAAACCTATTCATCATATAGGGAAACTAGGATCTAAGGACATTCTG